TTTTTTTTTCTTCTGCACTGGAAGCTGACTGGAATTGACTGCTCTAGTGTGAACTAGGGCCTTTGGAATACATGGAAAACACTCTGCATGCATTTTTGAGGCAGACAAAAACGCACTGGGCTGTGTCTAATGTGAATTAGCCCTAAGGGCCAGTTCACACTACAAAAATGCGCTCCGGATGCATTCCAGATATGTTTGTACTTACAGTTCACACCACACGCAGTTCAGGTGCAGTTTTGATGCAGTTTGCCATGTTCCAGTATGGTTCTGTGCAGAAAAAATGCAGCATGTTCTACTTTTTTTTTTTTTTTTTTTTTTTTTTCTGCGTCTGGAACTGACTGCACTGGTATGAACCAGAGCCATTGGAATACATGAAAAATACTGTGCAAGCATTTTTGATGCAGAAAAAAAACTCGCTGGGCTGCATCTAGTGTGAACTAGCCCTAAGGGCCAAAAAATGCATTCTGAATACATTTTTATTTACAGTTCACACCACACGCAGTTTCGGTGCAGTTTGCCATGTTCCAGTATGTTCTACTTTTTTTTCTGCACTGAAAAGTGACTGCACTAGTGTGAACTAGGGCCCTTGGAATACATGAAAAACCTGCATTTTTTTAAAATTGTTTTATATTGTAATTTTTTTATTTTGGGCTACAGCCCAACTTTACACATGTACAAATAAGGGTGTAAAACACACCCACAGCAACATATACGTGTACATAATAGGAAAAAAAAGAATAACCAATTCAGACATAGCACAATAGCATGGCTAAATGGCAGGTAGCAGTATTTACTATAGTGATTAACAGAGCTTCAAGACAATCCAACTCATTTGCTATAAGGGGATTGATCCCATAGCTCCCAGACAGCTGCGAACTAACCAGGGTAATCACCCGCTAGATTGGTAGGATACTCCATTTCACGTACAGCGGAAATTGTTTGCAAAAGAAGATTTAAAGTAGTTTTCTCAACAGATTTTGCCAAAGGGGGTAAAAGTGTCCAGACTAGAAGTGGTTAAAGGCATGGGCCGGCGCTATAAAACTCCCAGGCGCAATGCATCCTAGGGAAACTTTGTATTGCGAAAAAAATTTGTAAAACGAGGCATTATTTTCAATGGATTTTCATTCGTAAACTGAAAATTACGTTAACTGAGGCGTTTGTAATTCAAGGTACTCCTGTATTTCCAAGTAGTCGCTGTAAACTAGCTTCCATCGGATGATATAGGCTAAACTACAAATGATGTTTCCTCCAACGTAGTCAGAAAACGAATTATAATACAGAGTACACAACAAAATACACCCAGACACCCCTCGAAAAGCTTGGGCAGTCAACCTATCAACATTTTTCTAAGTATCCATCATCTTCCAAAACAGCGGGTTTGAGTGTATAGTAGCCGGCAGAAGAACAAGATGATCTCTGCAATTAAATGTTATGTAATATGTTACATAACTGTTATGTGCAGGGAACGCGCACAAGCAGGGAGCGGGGAGGCCGTTTATAAACGGCCACCCGCCCCTGCACTGCTCCCCTCAGGACATTTTATATACATGGGAAGTGGTTAAAGTGCACTTTATAAAGCGTTTTGAACAGAACTTATTTTTTACTTTTTTTCTGACCTCGGAACAGATTAATTGGTTTTCAATGCATTTATGAATTTCTTTTTAATCATGTCTCTGTACAGTATTTATGCCTTCAAAGTGCACTCTAGAAAGAGTATTTTGAACAGATAGATAAAATACTTTTTTTTTTTTCTTTTTTTTTTTTTTTTTTTAACTTTTTTCTGACCTGATCTCCAAAACTGATGAATTTTGTTTTCAATGCATTCCTATGGGAAACTGCGTTTTTTGGTTTACAAATTTTTTGCAATATGAACCCTGGAGAGCTGCATACGTTATGTACGTCCACCAATAAAAGTGCTGTACATGACAATGCTCGGGGTATGTGTCTGTATCTTCTGCATTTGGCGTTTACCCATGCATAAGAGCACAGTACTTCTCCCCAAATGCAAAGTGACACATTTGGGTAGAAGAGCTGTATTCACATGGATGGGTAAACGTGTGATTAGGGACAGAAGTTCAGCTGTGAACGCAACCTTTTCTGCGTCAAGGGTTGCTCTCTGTCCCTAACCACAGATAACTGTTGCATGTGTGGATACATGTGAACTGTAGCTTCTTTTGACCTGTCATTGCTTTATACAGGCTTCCAGCTGTTCACAAACACCTGTGATTTCAGCCACAGGAACCCACTGGTTCTTGCTGCAGGGGTCCACTGTATTCCCACAAATATGTAATCTTTTGCTGTGTCCTATTTCTAATGGATTGCACTGGCAGCTGTAATGGTTGTTTGGTCACTGATTGCATTAGGTATCCTATATTGGATTTATGCACAATGGTTTGCAAGCGTAATGTACTGTTGAGCCTCCATGATGTACTATATTGCCAAAAGTATTGGGACACCCCTCCAAATCATTGGATTCAGGTGTTCCAATCACCTCCATGACCACGTGTATAAAATCAAGCACCTAGGCATGCAGACTGCTTCTCTACAAACATTTGTGAAAGAATGGGTCACTCTCAGGAGCTCAGTGGATTCAAGCGTGATACCATGATAGGTTGCAACCTGTACAATAAGTCCATCCGTGAAATTTCCTTGCTACTAAATATTCAACTGTCAACTGTTAGTGGTATTATAACAAAGTGGAAGCAATTATGCCACAAAGTGGTAGACAACGTAAAATGAAAGAGCGGGGTCAGCGCATGCTGAAGCGCACAGTGTACAGATGTCACTGTCTGCAGAGTCAACAGCTAAAGACCTCCAAACTTCATGTGGCCTTCAGAGTAGCACAACCGTGCATAGAGAGCTTCAGTGCTGAGCGAACTGTTGGCGCTATATAAATACTGTATAATAGTAATAATGGAATTGGTTTCCATGGCCTAGCAGCTACATCCAAGCCTTACATCACCAAGTGCAATGCAAAGTGTCGGATGCAGTGGTGTAAAGTGCACCACCACTGGATTCTAGAGCAGTGGAGACCGTGTTCTCTGGAGTGATGAATCAGGATTCTCTCTCTGGTAATCTGAAGGACATGCCTAGGTTTGGCAGTTGCCAGGAGAACGGTACTTGCCTGACTGCATTGTGCCAAGTGTAAAATTTGGTGGAGGGGGGATTAGGGTGTGGGGTTGTTTTTCAGGGGTTGGGCTTGAGAGAGACATTTTGGACAATTTCATGCTACCAACTTTGTGGGAACAGTTTGGAGATGGCCCCTTCCTGTTCCAACATGACTGTGCACAAATCAAGGTCTAAAAAGACATGGATGAGCGAGTTTGGGGTGGAGGAACTTGACTGGCCTGCACAGAGTCCTGACTTCAGAGACTGCAAGCCAGGCATTCTCGTCCGACATCAGTACCTGACTTCACAAATGCGCTTCTGGAAGAATGGTCAAACATTCCCATAGACATACTCCTAAACCTTGTGGCCAACTCAATATTGAACCCTACGGACTAGGGATGCCATTAAAGTCCATGTGCATGTAAAGGCAAGCGTCCCAATACGTTTAGTTATTAGTTGGTGTATACACTATATTACCAAAGAAAAAAGGTCATGAGCAAAGTTCTGATTCCAGAATAATTAGTGATTTATTTTTTAATGTAAATTGTATTTTAACAAAGCGCATTATTGGAAATGTTTGCTAATGCTAAAGATCTGTCAGTTGCAGAAGTCGCTAGTCATGAGATTAGCTTACATGAATTTGTAAAACCTTAGGTTCCTTTTACATAAATATTCCAATTGAGTTTGCCTGTCTGGTTTTTCAGGCGAACCTGACCAGAACCACCATTCTCCTCCATGGACCAGAACAAACAAACAGATCGGGATCTGTTCCCTTTCTGTTGATTGGATGGTAGTTGGGTGTAATCAGACAGGCAGTCTGTTTACATCTCACCACCCATAAAAGAGCGCAATCTGTGTCTGCTCCGCATAAGCGGAGCGGACACGGACCTGTCATCCACCTGCTCAGCGGGGATCAGCAGACCGATCCCCTGCTGAGCAAGCGGATTGCAGGCGGAGTCCGCCTGTGCGAAAGAGGCCTTAGTAGAAAGTATATTGCACTTTTAAATATTTGCTATGTGTATTCTGATAAGGGTATGATATACTGAAGATTTTGACTTTGATGAAGCCAAATGCCAGAACTTTTTATTTTGTTCTGCAGAAAACTCGGTAGGGTTTGAGGCTTTGTTTTAATTTCTGTGACCATACTCGGAGGATTTCCTATCACTGTATCTCCTTTGGGGAGATTCTCCTGCCAGGACAGGAAGTGATGGGAAATCTCCCCAAAGGGCCATGCCCTAAAAAAAAATTCCATAAAATATGGCATTTTTGGCTGGAATTGTTCATGGCTGGGCCCCCTTATTCAGATGAACCCTCCCTAAATGTTATTTCCTAGGGCACTGCTCTGTGCTTCTTTATTCAAAATGTTGGTCTAATGGGAGAGGGGAGCACAGGTGTGTATGTTTGTCCCTTTCCTTTATACTCTGTTTTGCATGTAACTTTAGTTTTGCTCAGTTAATGCTTGAATGTACAATGTTGGGTACTTTGTGCCCCTGCCAATGCTTTATACTCCTTTTTTTTGTGTGTTTTCATGAGCTCTCAAGTTTGTACTTTGTATCCTTATGCAAAATAATTAAATGGACACCATTAAAAACAATCTCTTCAAAGGGGGCATAGACAAAAATAAAAACCTTTTTTAGCAAAATGAGGAAGGGTTGAAATGTTTGACCATGTTTATTGCTATTTGCGCCTGCCCTGGTGGCAACTCCGCTCCTCATTTCTTGTGTAAATGTGAGCGAATATCTTCTCAATTGGGGGACACGGATGAGTAAAAAAAATTTAAATTTGAAACTCTTCTAAAGTTTTTAAAAGAAAACAAATCACTATTCTTTTAAATTATCTCCCGTTCAATATTTTATTTTGTAATATTTATAGAGTGGGCTTCTCTTCCACAGGGTGGATCACCTCTACACGTTCTTTCTCCAGTGGTCTCCAGAGGTGTATGGGAAGGATGCAAAAGAGCAAGGCTTTGTGGTGGTAGATAAAGAGGAACTGAATATGATTGACAACTTTTTTAGTGACCCCTCTACCAAAAGCTGGGAGGTGAGTTTATCTACATTGCCTCAAGTAAGAAATATTAAGAATAAGTTCTCTAGTGTACACTTGCATATGACACTAATTCCAAGAGGTGCATAGAACATACGTTTTAGAGGTAATCAAACAAACTGGCACACCTGTTGTGGTGTCTACTCTTGGGGAAGTGTTTTATTCCTTAAGACAAAGTATATTTGAATCAGAGAGTGTTCTTTGCAGGGCATTCTTAAGTCACTTTGGTGGACTGGATGGCAAAGTAGAATTACTCTGCTTGCATTTAAAAAAACACATTAATGGATAAATTCATCAGCACCGAGCTGCATTAGCTTTTGCCTTTTTTTATCTGCCTAGAGTTCAACTTTAATACTGCTTGGAACAAAGGCAATGAATTGAATTGTGGAATCTGTTGAATCTGATATATAGAAAAGGACCAATGTATTGCTGGTAGACATATATTGAATACAATGATTGGCCAGAGCAGGGAAAGTATACTAAGGAGTTGCAGGCTGCATAAAATGTAAGGCTTGGTGTAGTTGACTAAAGCCACACAATAATGACAATGTCAAATATGAAGCAGAAGACACTTAACTCCAAAAGCCACAAACCGTCATCATTGCTAGCAAAGGTGAAATGTGTGTCCGTCATTGGATACCCCCTTGAGGTCAGTGGACTCCTACTAGACCGGGGTGTCGGCAACCCGCGGCTCCAGAGCCGCATGCGGCTCTTTCACCTTGGCTGCGGCTCCGGAGCACACTGCCCACCAGGTGACAGGCAATAGGGCAGCAATGGGCAAACTACGGCCCGGCGGACCTTTTAATCCGGCCCGCGGAGCTAGGCTCACGCTAGGCTCCTCTCACAGTCCGCCCTGAAGACCGGTGTAGCATGAAAAATCTGTCTCCTATGAGGATCTGTCCCCCTCGACGTATCTGCGCATGTGCCGGAGATCGCTGATCGGCTGCTAATGTCTGAAACTGGCACATGCGCAGATATGTCGAGGGCGACAGATCCTCATAGGAGACAGATTTTCATGCTACACCGGAACGGCGCGGGAACACGGCGAGAGGAACGCGCGGAGCAAAGGTAAGTGAATTGACACAGGGGGGACTTTGGGACTATGGGGGATGAAATATGGGGGATGAATTACTATAGGGGGGATGAATTACTATAGGGGGGATGAATTACTATAGGGGGATGAATTACTATGGGGGATGAATTACTATGGGGGATGAATTACTATGGGGGATGAATTACTATGGGGGATGAATTACTATATGGGGGATGAATTACTATATGGGGGATGAATTACTATATGGGGGGATGAATTACTATATGGGGGGATGAATTACTATATGGGGGGATGAATTACTATATGGGGGGATGAATTACTATATGGGGGGATGAATTACTATATGGGGGGATGAATTACTATATGGGGGGATGAATTACTATATGGGGGATGAATTTACTATATGGGGGGATGAATTACTATATGGGGGGGATGAATTACTATATGGGGGATGTATTTTCAGTTTTAAAAATGTGGCTCTCAAAATAAATTTCAATCGTGGTTTTGGCGAGATTTGGCTCAGTTGAAAAAAAAAGGTTGCCCACCACTGTACTAGACTAACCGTCACAGTGCGACCTTAAGACTAGGTTCAAACTATTGTCAGTGGTTGCAGGTTCGGGAATCGCAGCTGTTCCCGCACCCACAGCCATAACGCGATGCGCTTTAAAAATGCACGGTGCTGGCATTCATTCTTAATGACACCCCTACACATCTCAAAAAGCAGCACATTTGCTGGCACTGCGAGGAAATTGCATGGTGCAAAAGCATCATGCTATTTCCCGGCCGCTGCAGTTTGAAAATGCTGCAGGAACCATTTTTTGGGATCTTCACCTGGGCACGTTCGCATTTGAGATCTCGACCAGAGCAAGTAAAGTTAAGTATAAGTGGCCTACGTCCCTTTACACAATGCAATGTGTAATTCTGAGTTTTAGTTAACTATTCTTAAGCGTGGGGTTTATTTTTTTTCAATTTATACTCACCTGGGTGGATGCAGCATCAGTCCGATGCCACATCTGTCCCCCCTCAGCTCTAAGGGCGAGAACTAAGCAATCATATGACCACTTATCCTTGAGATCTCACCGCCGTTGTGAGCTGAGAATGTCAGTCACCGCTGTCTGCTCTCCTCCCCCCCCCCCCCCCCCCCCCCATGCTCACTGGAGCGCAGGGCTGTTGCTGGGGAGTGAGCAGCTGGCTCAGGCTCTCAGGTGCCGCTCTGGGGTGAACCTTGACTTTTTTTAAAGTCAGGATGTTTTTCCAGCCTTAACTGGCTGAGTGATGTCAGCTGCCAGTGGGCTTCAGCCCCCTGTCAGCTGAAAAAGGGTCACAGGAGTGCAGAACAATCCACAGGAGAAGTACAACCAAAAGTTTTTGTTTTATTTTTTACTCCCAAGTAGAAGATGGCACAATCCCCTGACAGCACTGATTAGATAGTGGATTCAAAAGCATGATCTTATTATTATTATTTTATTTTTATTTTTTTTTGTTCACAAACCTAAAGCCGAGTGATTGTAAGGATTTGCAGTTGTATGATCTCTGCCACAATAAGCCATCTTCCTGCTCTGTATGGATTTCTTTTGTGATTTCTAGATGATCTTTGTTACCATGAATGCTATCAATATGACCAATCACCATTTTCTATCGAAATCAATTTAGAGTAAGAAGAGTTGGTAGTGGTGAACGCATACGAAGGCCATGCCCACATATATGTAAACTGTGTTCAAACCACACATGTGAGGTATCGCCACGAACGTCAGAGCAGAAGCAATAATTCTCACACTAGACCTCCTCTGTAACTTTACACTGCTAACCTGTGGACATTTTTAAAGCATCACCTATGGACATTTTTAAGTACCGCCATTTCACGCCATTCCACGAGCGTGCATAATTTTAAAGCGTGAAATGTTGGGTATCTATTTACTCGACCGTAACATTGTTTCATATTTTAACTGCTTGCCGCCCTGCCACTGTATATATACATGTGCAGGGCGGCACTGGGGCGCAAAACCACGTTTTAAAACGGGTTCCGCACTCCCGACGTTTTTCGCCGGCAGGGGCGCGCGCTCCCGCCAACCCGCGGGTGACGCTATTCGATCCCGGAAGGATCAATCATTAGATTTCAGCCAGTGATGTCTGGCTGAAATCAGATGATCGGTCGCTGTCCTATCCTGTCCTGTGTTGACATTTAGACAGGACAGGATATGATGTCATTCTTCTCTGCCTGGACACATTCCGTTCCAGACAGAGAAGAAGACATACAAAAAGTGAGTACAAAGCACTACGCTAACAGTTAGAACACACCTAGGTCACATTTAACCCCTTAATCTCTCCCCCCCCTGTTAACCCCTTCACTGCCCTGTCGCCAGTGTCACTGATCAGTGAACCGATTTTTACTGATCACTGTATCAGTGTCGCTGGCGACTTCCAATAGTGTTAGTGCCCCTCCCAGATAGCGCCAGATTTCCCGCTAATACACCAGTAATCCCGTCTAACCCCTTCACTGCCCTGTCACCAGTGTCATTGATCAGTGAACAGATTTTTAATGATCACTGTATCAGTGTCGCTGGCGACTTCAAATAGTGTTAGCGCCCCTCCAAGATAGCGCCAGTTTGCCCGCCAGTACACCAGTAATCCCATTTAACCCCTTGATCGCCCCCCCAGTTAACCCCTTCACTGCCCTGTCACCAGTGTCATTGATTACAGTGAACAGATTTTTACTGATCACTGTATTAGTGTCACTGGTGACTTCCGATAGTGTTAGCGCCCCTCCCATTATAGTGCCAGTTTGCCCGCTAATGCACGGGATTTTTTTTACCAAAAAACATGTAGCAGAATACATTTTGGCTTAAATTTATGACTAACTTTGAGTTTACGATATATTTTTTATAGCTGAAAGTAGAAAATATTGTTTTTTTTCCAAATTTGTGATTTTTTGTTTATAGCGGAAAAAAAAAAAGCGCACAGGTGATAAAATACCACCAAAAGAAAGCTCTATTTGTGTGAAAAAAGGACGTAAATTTTGTTTGGGTACAGCATTGCATGACCGCGCAATTATCATTTGAATTAGTGCAGAGCCAAACAGCAAAAAAAGGCCTGGTCATTAAGGGGGTAAATCCTCAGGAGCTCAAGTGGTTAACAAAAATTTGGGTATATATTTTTTTTTTTTTTTTTCCTCAAAGTGTATTTTTATCCGATAGATAGATATCTCTATCTATCTATATATATATATATAAATATATATATATATATATATATTATATATATATATATATATATATATATATATATATATATATATATATAATCTCTATATATCTATATAATATAAAATTAAATTTTAAAAACTTCGGTTTTCGGTCAAGTGCATTTTGAATTTTCGGTTTTGGCACCAGGATTTTAATTTCGGTGCACCACTAATATAAATCCTGTATAATAATAATACCCCCTGTTGTATTTGACAAGCAGTTCCACCACTGATTGTGACCCATTCACTTGATCAGGGCAGCTCCACAACCTCCTTGTGTAATGCACCCAGTTGCTGTGCAGTGGTGCAGGCTTTATGGGGTTAAAACAGGCTGCCTGTCAGACTCCCTCTGAAAAGCATTCCACTTACAGATTGGTATTCAGATGGTGACACAAGTGCAAAGCACCCCTAAATCTGTTATAAATGTCTTGGAAATGTTTACCATTCATCCAGCAGAAGACCCTGAATTCATACAGCTCTTTTGATGCTGATGTAAACAGTGTTGCTGTAGAGAAGGGGTCCCCAAATGTTTTAAAGCTGAATTCTTGGCATATAGGATATCATTGATTAGTGTAGCTGAAAGCTTACCGTCACATATTTGACATCAGCCCCATTCTATTGCAAACCATCTGCTAACCTTGCCTTCAGAGTTGCTTTGGGCTGATATTTCCCAGTATAGAGACTGGTAACCCTAGCCTGCTGTCTGTGTGCTGGGTGAATGACCTCCTCGCTCTCTACTCAGTACTTCTAATTTGGCATCGCTGACATTGTGATGGGAGCAAAAGGATCCTAGCCACTAATGCTAACTTTACTCTCCCCCTTTCCAGCTCCCTCTGCCCCTCTGAGCCACAATCCACTGGTTAATGTTCTGCTGCTCCTGCCTAGCAGCGAAGGATGCTGAAAGTAGACTTTTTAAAGGATAAGTTCACCTTTTGTAAAAACCAAAAAAAAAAAAAAAAAATGCACATTTTGCTGGTAAAAAAAAAATGTGCAGAGCATTTTAGGTAAGATGATCTTCATTGGGTGCCGTCCCTGGGACCTGTCTTCTTTTCCCTTTTCTTTTCTTTACTTTTCTGTTCTGACTCTTTCTTCCATGCCTTGTTTACTTTTACACCTTGACAGTAATCCTTGAGGATGATCTTATATCGCTGGGGGGCTCTGTGCCTTAAACTGTTTTCAAGCCTTCTGGTGTTCTTCTTGACGAACTGTTTATGATCTTATTGGAAGGGATGTACACTCTGGGCATTTATGTGTAATGTAATCTTCACTTTGTACCTTTTCATAAGCCCTGAGCCTCGGGCTTTTACATCTGGATTTGTTTTCTGATCCTTTTGTTCATCCATTGTACTAATTTTGTTAAAACTCAATAAAACCTATTTGAAAGTAAAAATGCGCATTTGTTAATAATAATAATGTAGTTTTACATTGCAGCCTGTAAAGCATTTCTGATTGGGGGTGCAATGCCAGGATCCTGCAAATGCTCAGTAAACTGTCTGCCGATACCTCCAATATGGGCAAGCGGTTACTGCATGGCAGGATGAATTAATGGACTATGAAAGCGTAGACCAGCGTCCTCGCAGTTCTTTGAGAACTACAAACCATTGTCCGCAGTGGCTGACAGTACTTGTAGTCTAATTTATTTACAGGAAACAATGAATGATGTGGTCATGTGGGCGGAGCCCTGCATGGCTGGACTGTTTTTTCCAAATTGTGACAGTGGGTGCGGTGAGAAGATTCCCCCACCCACTGTCAGAATGGGAAGCGCTGGTGGCAGGAGGTGGCTGCATAGGCGTATGTTACATCCTAAATATAGGTGTAATATGCAAAATGCTCTTTAAAGATTAGCTTATTCGTTAATGAACCAGATTTGCTGTCCGACATACTATGCCTATCTCTGCTCCCCTGAATTTTAAGTAGATTTTTTTTTTCTCTTTATATAGTAAAGGTTGTAACCCCTGTCAGGTTTTATTTTTTATCCTATGTGACCCATTAAGATTTCCCCAACTTCCCTCTCTCCTCCAAAGGTGTATGTATTTTTTCCATTTCATTGCTTTGCTTTGTTTATGCAACTTTTAGCTTTAGCTTCGCCTTAGTGGGTGTTTTACTTCCCACAGTGGATGAAACCTTTGGTTTTATGCAGATTTTTCTTGTGCTCTGGAGCAGACTAAACGCAGAAGAATGGCTGTAGAACTGTCTAAAATTGATGCTCTGATAGTGGATCGCTATGGGGTGTTTTTTGTTTGTGTGCAATCAAATGGAAATAATTAGTAAAAAAAGAAAAGGAAAATGGGGGAAAAAAATAAACTATTATGCAGAAATGAAAACAAAAAATACATTTATAAAGCGGCAAAGTAAAAACTTTCTCAGCGTCTGTGAAATCCTCAAATCAATACAAATTTGTACTCTTAATCCACCTTCATGAAAGCATTCCTTCCTAATCCATGTGTACCTCCAAAAAGAAAAAAACTACATAGTGCATTATCCCTATGTCATCAAGCGAAAATAAAATCAAAAACCCAGTGCTAATTGTGTGCAAAATCACCCAATGTCCACTTCTAAGCGGCTGTATAAAATGCTCTGACCCTATCTAAACTTGTGTATAGCTTTAAATCTCATTCCATTAAAGCTATACACAAGTTTAGTAAGAGTATTTTATACAGCCGCTTAGAAGTGGACGTTGGGTGGTTTTTGCACACAATTAGCACTGGGTTTTTTATTTTATTTTTGCTTTATGACATAGGGATAATGCACTATGTAGAGTGTTGTGTTTTTTTTTTTTTTTTTTGTTTTTTTTCTTTTTGAGGTAAACGTGGATTTATGAAGGAATGCTTTCATGAAGGTGGATTGATTAGGAGCACAAATTTTGTATTGATTTGAGGATTTCAGACAGAGTTTTTTACTTTGACTTTGGACTTTCGGGGGAGAAAGTGTGACTTTTTTGCGTCTAGGGTGTTGCAGTATTGTTTCAGTGTATATTTTTTGGGTGAACAGAATTTCTGTTATTGCAAATAATATAGACTGTAAATATGTGGGAGATATGTTTTATTACCATAAGTCCTGCATTTCTACTCTGGCAAAGTATTTTGTCACTCCATGCTGGCACAATATCTGTGCGATGCATGGCAGACAGTGACTGCATTATGACTGCAGCCTCACTGACAAGCATGATCCATGAATTCATCCATCTACAGTAAATGTTTCCATGAATTCATCCATATAAACGTCTCCATGTGTATGGATTAAAATGCAGACCATGGCAAAACAAATAGAAAAGAATTTGAGAAAAATATATTAAGGAAGCAAATTTGTTATAATTTGCACTCTTGTATCAGCTATTTGGAGATTGGCCAGAGCAGCAGTAGAAATACAGAATTGAACAGCGTGCCAGGCAAGTTGTTTCATGCACAAAACCCCTCCTTCCATTCAGGAAATAGAAAGTATAAATGGTAGTAGGCAAAGTGAAACTTTCAGTTGCTGTAACTTTGATTCCGATTAGAAACCACATGTCCTACAGAGACGAGGTGCTTTGAACAGCTGCGATGAAGAATAGCCAAAAACCAATGAATATCAAAATCCTCTATATTGCTAGTGGTGTCCAGGAACCTTATGTCCAGGTAGAGCATCTTCTTCTCTTTTTTATTTTTTTTTTATTTATTTTATTTTTTATAGATTTGACATTGAAAAAAAATCCAGATCACTGTTTCCTAATACAGTTTTAATGATCCATTGTTGCCTATTACAGTTTTAATGAAAATGTAGATGATGGTAAACTTGCAAAATTTCCCACATTTGTTTTTTTTGGCAACAGAAGTTCTCTGTAATGATTTTATTGCTAACCAAATACATGTACCCAGTATGCTAGGAGATTTGTATACTGTATATAGATTTTTTTTTTCTTAAGTTAGATTTAAATAGAAATCTTTACAAAGTTTAGCAAAGAAAAATGTCCTTTTTAATTGCTGGTCTATACCATGATTTTTTTTTTCTTTTCAGTTCTACATTTCAGTTTGAAGAGATCTCTATCATCGTAGCTTTGCATAACAGGACAACTATTAACATAGTTGTACTTTAGCTTGAGGGCTTATTCTTTGTGTGGGTACAGATTAGCGTCGTATTCATTTTAAGAATATTCTGAGCTATATTTAATATATAATGAACTGTAAATTGTGTCCAAATATCCAGATTATGTCTCAGGAAAAAAAGGCTAGTGATTTTGGTTTTGAAGAATGATGCTCTGTTTCATTAGACTTATGCAGCAACTTGCTCATTCTGTCTGCCATTCTTACTTGTTTATTCTAATGTGAACATTCTGTTTTCACAGATTATCACTTTAAAAGAGGCAAACCGTCGGAAAAGCACGTGCAGTTATGAAGATGAGGAGGAAGAAGAGGCTGTCGAGGAGTTTCTTCCTGATTTGAAACAGGAAAGCCATCTGCTGGAAGAAATGCATATTGAGAAGGTAAAACATTTACACATTCCTTTACAGTTCTGGTAAACTGAGAACATTTGGTCATTAAAATTGGTGTCATTGTTCCCCAATCTGACTCCTTTTTAGCTGGATTAAGAGTTGATCGGCTTGTCTACAGGTAGATGAGGATGCCTCAGGTCTAATGTCCTTGTGGAAGCTAATGACTGGCCAGATTTTTTTTTTTTTTTCCCCTCACAGGTGTCTTCCAAGACCAGGGATCTTCAAACTTTCTAAACAAAGAGCCAGTTATTATTATTATTATTATTATTATTATTATTACATCGAGTTTATATAGCGCCAAAGGGTTTGCTCAGTGCTGTACAATAGGGGGGACAATACATGGCACAGTACAACAAAAACAGACAGGGTACGAGGGGAAAGAGGACCCTACTCTTTCAAGCTTACAATCTAGGAGGGAGGGGGTAGTGGAACAATAGGAAGTGGCTGAGGGGAATGAAATGGCTGAGGGGGAGGAAGTGGTGGGAGGAAGTGGTGGGAGGAATGAGGGAGAATGGCCATTAGGTGAGGGTGGGGTAGGCTTCCCTGAAGAGATGGGTTTTGAGGGAGCGCCTGAAGGTGAGGAGGGAAGGTGACAGTCGGATGGATTGGGGCAGTGAGTTCCAGAGGATAGGGGAGGACCTGGAGAAGTCCTGCAGTTGTGCATGGGAGGAGGAGACCAGGGAGCAGGATAGAAGGAGGTCCTGTGAGGAGCGAAGGGTACGGGTAGGGTGGGGTACTTGGGGATCAGGTTGGTGAGGTAGTCAGGGGCAGTGTTATGAACGGCTTTGTAGGTCAGGATTAGAAGTTTTAAATTTGATGCGTTGGGCAATCGGGAGCCAGTGGAGGGAGAGGCAGAGGGGGGGTGGCAGAGGGGGGAGCGAGTGGTGAGGTGGATGAGTCTGGCCGCTGAGTTCAGGATGGTCTGGAGCGGGGAGAGCCTGCACTTGGGGGTAGGCCAGTGAGAAGAGAGTTGCAATAGTCAAGGCGTGAGATGATGAGGGAGTGTACTAGAAGTTTGGTGGGTGTCTGGGGTGAGGAAGGTACGTATCTTGGCGATATTGCGGAGATGGAGCCTGCAGGTGTTTGTAAGTGATTTGACATGAGGCTATCCTTCAGGATGGGGGGGGGGGGGGGCAGACTGTAGCCATTGGGAGTATAAAATGTCCCATCATTGGTTTTAATGAAAAGAATTGTGTACCATCATTGGTTTCAGTGGAAGGAATAGTGTCTCATTGTTGGTGTCATTGGAAGGAAAAGTGCCCCATCATTTGTGTCGGGGAGTAATAATGCCCCACCATTGGTGTCAGTGGAAGGAAAGGTGCGACATCATTGGTGTCAGTGGGAATAATAATGTTCCATCATTGTTGTCAGTGGAAGGAAAAGTGAACCATCATTGGTGTCAGTAGGAGGAATAGTTCCCCATTATTGGTGTGCTTGGCAGGAATAATGCCCCACTATTGGCGTCAGTGGGGAGGAATGGTGCCCCGGAGGGCCGGATAAAGGCAAATAGCCATATTCAACCAATGACTCCCTGTTTGGAGACCACTGGCCAAGATCAATAAATGGAGCAATATTTTTTTTTAAAATTGCATTTTGATCGTGCTAGAATTTGCAATTCATTATAACATGAGGACAAAATAATCAGAATAACCTTCCGCGCTATGGTACTCTAGTCTCAAATAACCAGATAAAATAAGCCTAAGAGTTGTACTGCCAACTGCAGTTGTATATAAAAACACAAACCCTCAACCAACCATAAAAAAAAAAAAAATACTGCGCTGCAGGTCGGTGCAGGTAAAAATGTGAAATCTCTCTAACATAAAATAAACCCTACATCCATCCAAATAACACTCCACAGTGTAACAAAAACCCAACGGTGAATTGGAAAATTTCCTACATCCAGTTTTTAATTTACTTACATCAAATCCTCCCCAACATAGGTTGGAGAGATTTGACATTAGCACATGCACTGACCTTCAGTGCTGTATACATTTATTTGTTCTATAACATAGGGGCAGTTTATGATTGCTGATTACAATAAACAGCACCAACTGGAAGTTGCTTCTTCTTTTAGTGGTTTTATACTTTTGAAGACAAAACTGTACTGCTGTCTTAACTGTTAAACACACGATTCATAACTTAAAAAAAAAAAAAAAAAAAAATGTTTTTTCATTAGCAGCAATGGAGCCATTTAAAATTGGTGCCACTCAAGTCACAACAACTTTGAAAAAGGTCCCTGCACTATATTTGTGCAACTTCATTGCAGCTTGCATTGAGATCTGTTAAATGAAGTTGCACAGTGTCAGCAAGCTGCAATGAAGTTGCAATGAATAGTCAGATTTGAAGTTGCACGAAGTAGCACAATTTTAAAGCTGCACTGGTGTGAACCAGGGCTTAAAGCGTAAAAAGGAGTTAAAACTCCTGCCAGGTTATTTATTGCTGTTTTGTGTACCATTTCCCTTCACTTACTGTCCTAGAGACGTAACAAAAAAGGGGAATTCCCCTCACTTTGTGAGATTTCCTCTTACGTAGTTGTCCTCAGAACAGGTTTCCCCATTAGAAGACGCCTCAGAAATGTGAATTTCCCCTCATTTCTTTCTTGGTGCAGTGGCCACAAGCATAAATAGATGGGGTGAATCTTCTCAATGGGTCACAAAAAGTATAAAAAAAAACTTGAGCGTGTAGCCCTGCCCCATTCTGTAATGGTCAGCTGTTTTTTTAATTCTGTTTAGTGCACTTTGTTTAGAACGTTTGGAGACCCCCGATCTAAAGCAAAGGGCCAGTTTACTGTCTTTCATTCTTTAGGGGGCCATACTGTGGCCATTGGGAGTAGAAAAAATCCTGACGTCAGTTGGAAAAGATCCTGACGTCAGTTGGCAAAAACAATGTCCAATCGTTGGTGTCATTGGGAGGAATTGTGCCTCGTCGTTGGTAGAAATTGTGCTCCATCGTTGGTTTATTGGGAGGAATTGTCCCATCTTTGTGTCATTGGGCCCCGTTTTTGGTGTCATTGGGAGGAATTGCGCCCCTTCATTGGTGTCAGTGGGGGAAATCATACCCCGTTGTTGGTATCAGTGGATGAAATAGTGTCCCTAGGGCCAGATAAAAGCAAGCAAAGGGCCGCATTAGGCCCCCGAGCCGCAGTTTGGAGACCACTGCTTTAGATGTTACAGGATTTTCCTTCTTGGGCAACCAGAACCAAAAGTAATATGTAGGCTTGCTGTCCTTTGGTGTCGCTGATCTAGAAGTAGGCAGTTCAAAAGTTCCAACAATATTCTGACTTGACCTGCCACATTTCTTTTTCCAGGTTATTTACTGCAAGCAGACAGATAACAATTATTTTTAGTAGATAGTAGTTAGTCAGCAAAGACAGCCTTCATATTTTTCTCTCTGGAAGTTCTCTTTTTAACACAGTTCACACATTATGATTGAGAATTAATTCTGAGCTTGGGGCTTTTAAAATTTCAACCATAAACAAGGTTCACTGGGCCTGATGATACATGAGTGTGTGGTTGCTTGCCATTGCCAAGCAGGTGGGCAAAATACATTGAATACATATGAATGTATAATATACCCATAATGGCGTGTTAATTTTCATGCACAGATTGCATTGTATAAATCTAGAATTTATGAACAGGGATGGTTCGCTATACGATGTACAGTATGTTCCAGCTTCTGAACGTTCATCTGCCAACCCTTGGCAGGCCTAAAATAAAAATGTGTATCTGCTACAGTTTTTGGGTCCAGGCGCTGCTGGCATTCTTAAATGCACATAACGTATGGAGGATGGAACTGAATCAAGTGTGTGTCTGTTAAAGGAGACTAAATGTTTGTGTTTTTTTTTTTTTCCTCCAAAAAGCCTCATCAAATCATATACTGCATTTGTCTTCTGCATGAGAACATCTTTGTGTCTGTGCCCAAATATTCAAACACCAGGTTCCAATGGAAAATACTCATAGAATATTTTTTTTTTTTGCATATGACCACATGGCATATGGCCTTTAAACCTTTTCCTTTTTAAATGCTTTTCCTCCTAAATTTATACAAATGCAAAATAAAATACATAGGCTGGATGTTTTATGCTTTAGTACCGTATGCTTCATATTCCCAAGTTGTGACATAACCGCTAGCAGGGGAGGCTACACTATTTTTTCTTTCTAGTTTCATTTATCACATTTAAATCTTTTGGCATGATGGGGGGGACTAGCAAATGTGCGCCTGTTATGGTGATTGGGCTGAATAGGGGTCATGGGGGTCATGTTTATTAGCATTTCCTTGGCATTATGGTGCAGGACTGTATTGCATAACTTGATAAGCACCAGACAAATATTGTGGTAGTTTGGGTTTGTAGGCACCAGTATACATCAAACATCATGTTTGGAAACTAAATCCATTCATAGCTGGTGTTCATATGCATGTTATATAATTTTTTTTTTGTGTGTGTGTGGGTGTGGGGTGTGTGTGTGGTGGGGTTTGGGGTTTGGTTGTGTTTGGTGTGTGGGGTGGGGTGGTTTTGTGTTGGGGGGGGGGGGGGGGGGGGGTTGGGGGGGTGGGGTTGTGGGGTGTGTGGGGTTTTGTTGGGTGTGTTGTTTTTGGGGGGGGGGGGGGGGTTTTTTTTTTTTTTGGGGTTTTGTGGGGGGGTGTGTGTGTGGGTGTGTGTGTGTTGTTGTTTTGTTGTGTGTGTGTTTTTGGGGTTTTGTGTTTTTTTTGTGGGGTTTTTTTTTTTGGGTTTGGGTGTGGGGGGGGGTGTGTTGGTTTTTTTTGGGGGGGTTTTGTGTTTGGGGGGGGTGGGGTGGGGGTTTATTGGGGGTGTGTTGTTTTGGGGGGGGGGGTTTTTGTTTTTTGGGGGGGGGGTGGGGGTTTTTTGGGGGGGGGGGTTTTTGGGGGGGGTGGGGGGGGGGGTGTTTTTGGGTGTGGGGTTGGGGGGGGGGGGGGGGGGGGGGGGGGGGGGGGGGGGGGGGGGGGGGGGGGGGGGTGTGGGGTGTGGGTTT